TCCAGGCACAGTGGTTCATACCTGTAATTCCAGCACTTTGGGAGGCTGAGGCAGGAGGTTCACTTGAGGCCTGGAGTTCAAGAGCACGCTGGGACACATAGCAAGACCTCATCTCTCTCTCTATATATATATACTTATAAAAGGCAGCTTCCTGTTTTTCTTTGGAAGGGGTTTTTGGCATGCATCAAGTACCCCAACTTTTCAGTTACCTCCCAAAGGTCTCTGTCCTAAACATCTTAAGTCTGGGAGCCAAAGGGACTACGCATATGTGAGTCTTTCTTTTGTTTTTGTTTTTGTTTTGAGATAGAGTCTTGCTCTATCCCTCACGATGGAGCATAGTGGCGCCATCTCAGCTCATTGCAACCTCCGCCTCCTGGGTTCAAATGATTCTCTTGCCTTAGCCTCCCATGTAGCTGGGATTATAGGCATGCACCACCATGCCTGGCTAATTTTTTTGTATTTTTAGTAGAGATGGGGTTTCACCATGTTGGTCAGGCTGGTCTCAAACTCCTGACCTCAAATGATCCGCCTGCCTTGGGCTCCCAAAGTGCTGGGATTATAGACGTGAGCCACTGCACCCGGTCATATATGAGTTTTTCTAGATCACAGAACAAAGAGGTAGTTTTAAATTGGTGCACAAACAGTTCCAGGGCTATGCTCCCTCGGAGCAATTCAGAAAAGGAGAGGGAATATTTAGTTCCTATTTTGTCTCTATATGTGGCTTACAGTACACTTCCAGTGGCTACTTGATGACCTGACAGCTAACAAATTTGCACCAGTGAGGTCATGGGGCAAACAAACAATAGCCTTATTACAGCTTAGCAAGGGAATTTCATGAAACTTTCCCCTGGCCCACCCCGTAAATAAATCCAGGTCTACTTATTCTTCCAGGAAGGAGCTTGGCCATGCACTGAGTGCCACAACTTCTATGGCTCCCACCCTGGGGACTGTCTCCTTAATGACCTAGCTCTTGATGTTGATGGAGCTTTGTATTCTTGGGTGGGGCTGAGACCACAGAAAACAAAGAAGTGAACATATAATAGTCAGGCTTCCAACAGCTATTTCCCCAGGATCAGAAGGTGCAACCTGAATGTTAGTATAGGCATTTGCCAAAGATACAGATCTTCTTCTCAGCTTAGTGCAGACAGAATGAGAGATAAACACCTGTATTCAGCTTTACCATAAAAATAGAAGTAGCTGAAACACATACCCAACACTCCAAACTTTCCAGCTATACCTACAGAATCTGGCTTCTGCCTTATTGGTCTCAGAATACTAAAATGATATGACAGAAACTCCAGGTGGGCACCAAAAACAGAATAGAGGTCTGGACAAACATAAAAACTTGAGAGGCACCTTAAAATCTCTGGTCAGACAGATAGGCAAGAGCCTTCTCCTACACGAGGCCAGCTAGACAAGAGTAAGAGAGATAGTGATACGGTCAGGCTTTGTGTCCCCAGCCAAATCTAATCTTGACATATAATCCCCCTAATTCCCAAGAGCGAAGGGAGAGACCAGGTGGAGGTAACTGAATCATGGGGGCAGTTTCCCCCATACTGTTCTTGCGATAGTGAGTTCTGACGAGATCTGATGGTTTTATAAGAAGCTCCTCCCCCTCCTGCTGCCTTGTAAAGAAGGTGCCTTGCTTCCCCTTCGCCTTCAGCCGTGATTGTAAGTTTCCTAAGGCCTCCCCAGCCATGCTGAACTTTGAGCCAATTAAACCTCTTTCCTTTAAATGGTACCCAGTCTTGGGAAGTTCTTTACAGCAGTATGAAAATGGACTAATACAGATAGTTATTTTATCTAATGTGCAGAAACCAACACAGAGAGTCAAGGAAAATAAAGTAATAGAGGAATATGTTCTAAACAAAAGAACAAGATGAATATACAGAAGCTGATCTGAGTGAAGTGTAGATATGTGATTTACCTGACAGAGAATTCAAAATAATGGTCATGGAGATGCTTACCGGGATGGGGTGAGCGATGTAAGAACAAACTGACAATTTTAATAAAGAGAAAGGAAGTATTTAAAAAGCACTGAATAGAAATAGTAGAGCTGAAGAATACTATAACTGAAATGAAAAATTAAATAGTAAACTAGATCAAGTAGGAAAAAAATAGTGAATTTGAAGACAGGTTACTGGAAATTACAAAATCTGAGGACCAAAAAGGAAAAAATAATGAAAAAGACTGAGGGTAATTTAAGAGACTTATGGAACACCATTATGCATAACCACATACACATTATCAGTATATAAAAAGGATAAAACAAAGAGAAATGGCTAGAAAACATATTCAAAGAAATAATGGCAGAAAACATCCAGAACCTGGGGAAAGAAATAGAAATTCAGAACTAGGAAGCCCAAAAGACATCTAATGAGATTAATCCAAAGAGACCCACACCAAGACACATCATAATGAAACTGTCAGAAGTTAAAGACAAAGAGAAAGTTTTGAAAGCAGCAAGGGAAAAGTGAAATATTACATGCAAGGAAACCCATGAGATTATCAGTGGGTTTTTCAGCAGAAACCTTGCAAACCAGAAAGAAATAGAATAATATATTCAAAATCCTTATAGGAAAAATAAATTTTAACCAAGAATACAATACCAAGTAACCCTGTCTTTCAAAAAGGGAGGATGATAAAGACTTCCTGGGATTAATAAAAGATGAGTGTATCACCATTAGACCTGTCTTATAAGAAATGCTACAGAAAGTTATTTAAGGTAAAAAAAGAGGATGTTAATTAGTAACATGACAACATATGAAAGTATAAAACTCACTGGTAAAAGTAAGTACGTTGTCAGGCCTGGTGTGGTGGCTCACACCTGTAATCCCAACAGTTTAGGAGGCTGAGGTAGGTGGATCACCTGAGGTCAGGAGTGTGAGGCCAGCCTGGCCAACATGGTGAAATCTGCATCTACTAAAAATACAAAAATTAGCTAGGCACAGGCCTGTAATCCCAGCTATTTGGAAGGCTGAGGAAGGAGACTCACTTGAACCCTGGAGGCGGAGGTTGCAGTGAGCCAAGATCGCGCTGCTGCACTCCAACCTGGCCAACAGAGCAAGACTGTCTCAAAAAAAAAAAAAGTAAGTATGTTGTGCAATTCAAAATATTTAAATATTATAATTGCAGTGGGTAAATCAATTTTATATCTCTACTATAAAAGTTGAAAGATCCTAGCTACTTGGGAGGCGGAGGCAGGAGAATTGCTTGAACCTAGGAGGTGGAGGTTACAGTGAGCTGAGATTGCACTATTGCACTCAAGCCTAGGCAAGAGGAGTGAAACTCCAGCTCAAAAAAAAAAAAAACAGAAAGAAAGAAAGAAAGAACAACTAGTAAAAACAAGTAAAGCTACAGTACTTTGTTAAGAATACAAATTATTTTACTTTAGAGAGCTGAGGCAGGAGGATTACTTGAGCTCAAGAGTTTGAGACCAGCCTGGGCAACATAGTGAGACCCTGTCTCTACTAAACAGGTGTAATTTTTACCTGTTCCTGTATAGATGATGTAATGATACTGACAAAGGAATTTAAGACAAAAATTGTTAAGAGACAAAGGAAGACATTTAAAAATGATAAAAGATCAATCCACCAAGAAGACATGGCAAATAAAAACATAAAGGCAACTACCAAAAGAGTCCCAAAACACATGAAGCAAAAAATAACAGAATTGAAGAGAGAAATACATTATATGACAATAACAGTTGGATATTTCCATATCCCACTATGAGCAATATATAGAATAGGCAGAAGATCAACTAGGAAATAGAGAACTTGAACACTATAAACCAAGTAGATCTATCAGATAGCTACAGAACACCCCAACCAAGCAACAGCAGAATATATGTTCTTCTCAAGTACACATGAAACATATTTTGGGCTGTAAAAAAGGTACTAATAAATTAAAAATAATTGAAATAGAAGAAAATATCTTCCCTGATCACAATGGAATGACGTTAAAAATCAGTAAGATAAGAACATTTAGGAAATTCACAAATATATATAAATTAAATACACTTCTAAGTAACCTGTGAGTTAAAGTTTAAATCACAAGGGAAATTAGAAAATGCTTTAAGATTAATGTAATGAAAACACAAAATACCAAAACCTATGGGAGGTAGCTAAAGCGGTGCTTGGAGGGAAATTTAGATTTCTAAATGGCAATATGAAAAAGAATAATGATCTTAAATCCATAAGCTAACTTACTACCTTAAAACAAAACAAAACGGGCTGGGCTCGGTGGCTCACGCCTGTAATCCCGGCACTTTGGGAGGCTGAGGTGGGCAGATCACCTGAGGTCAGGAGTTCAAGACCAGCCTGACCAATATGGTGAAACCCCAACTTAAAAAAAAAAAAAAGGGCCAGGCACGGTGGCTCACACTTGTAATCTCAGCACTTTGGGAAACTGAGGCAGGCAGATCACTTGTGCCCAGGAGTTCAAGACCAGTAGGGGCAGCACGCTGAAATCCCATCTCTACAAAAAATACAAAAATTACCGAGGTGTGGTGGTGCATGCCTGTAGTCCCAGCTACCTGGGAGGCTGAGGTAGGAGGATTGCTTGAGCCTGGGAGGCAGAGGTTGCAGTGAGCTGAGATGGCACCACTGTACTCCAGCCTGGGCGAAAGAGTGAGACCCTGTCTCAAAACAAAACAAAATAGAAAAAGATGAGCAAAATAAACTAGGGAAAAGAAGGAAATAATAAAGATTAGAGCAAAAATAAATAGAATAGAGGATAGAAAGACACCAAAAATCGACAAAATCAAAAGTTAGTTCTTTAAAAAGACCGACAAAACCGATGAGCTTTAGTTAGATTGATGAAGAAAAAAAGAGGGAAGAATCAACTCAATAAAATCAGGAATGACAAAGGGAACATCAGTACTGACCTTACAGAAATAAAAAGGATTATAAAGGAATAGTATAAAGAATTGTATGCAACATATTAGATAACACAGAAAAGTGAACATATGTCTATAAAGACACAAACTACCAAAGATAACATAAGAAGTAAAGAATACAAATAGACCTGTAACAAGTAAAGAAGTTGAATTAGTAATTTTTGAATTTCTCACAAAGAAAATTTCAGGTCCAGATGGCCTCAGTTGTGGTTTCTACAAACCGTCATTTATTTATTTATTTATTTATTTATTTATTTATTTATTTATTTATTTTCAAGGCAGGGTATCACTCTGTCACCCAGGCTGGAGTGCAATGGCATGATCACAGCTTCCTGCAGCCTCAACCTCCTGGGCTCAAGCAATCCTCTCACCCTAGCCTCCCAGGTAATTGGGATTACAGGTGCATGCCACCATGCCTGACTAATTTTTTAAAAATTATTTTTAGTAGAGAAAATATTTCATTGTTTCCCAGGCTGGTCTCAAATTCTTGAGCTCAAGTGATCCTCCCACCTCTACCTCCCAAAGTGCTGGGATGACAGGCATAAACCACCACACCTGGACCAAATGTTTAAAGAATAATTCATACCAATCCTTCACAAACACTTCCAAAAAAATAAAAGGAGGAAATATTTCTCAACTCATTCTATAAGTATCATATGAGCCAGTATTACTCTGCTACAAAATTGGGCAAAGATATCACAAGAAAAGAAAACACCGATCAGTATCTCTTATGAATTAAGATGTAAATCGTCTTAATCAAATACTAGCAAACTGAATCCAGCAACATGTCAAAAGTATATATTATTACCAAGCAGGATTTATTCCAGGAATGGAAAAATATGATTCCATTCATAATAGCATCAAAAATAATAAAATATGTAGGAATAAGTTTAACAAAAGAAGTAAAAGACTTTAACTATAAAATTTTTCTTTTTTTTGTAACTATAAAATATTATTGAAAGACATTGAAAACCTAAATACACAGAAGTAAATCTCATGTTCATCAATCAGAACACTTAATATTGTTAAAACGGCAATCCTCCCCCAAACTGATCTACAAATTCATCTCAAGACCTGTCAATTCCAAAAGGGTTTGAGACTATCATTGAATCGGAGTCTGCAGGGCAGACCCCTTAAAAGAAAAAAGAAAAGAAAAGAAAAGAAAAGAAAAGAAAAGAAAAGAAAAGACCTGTCAAAATCCCAGCTGGCTTTTTTACAGAAACTGAAAACCTGATCCTAAAATTCATATGGACATGAATGAGATCTAGAATAGCCAAAACTATCTTGAAAAAGAAAAGAATTGGAGAAGTCACACTTTTCACTTTCACAACTTACTACAAATCTACAATAATCAAGACAGCATGGTAGTGGCATAAGAAGAGACATATACATCAATGGAATCGAACTGAGAGTCCAGGTTTTTGGCAAGGTGTTGAAACATGGGGAAAAGAATAGTCTCCAACAAATGGTGCTGGGACACAACTGGATATTCGTATGCAAAAAAAAAGTTGGACCTTTATCTTACACCTTTACACAGGTATAACACATTTGTATAAATACATCTTTATACAATATTGAAAAACAACTCAAAATGGATCCATGACCTAAATAAACATAAAAGCAAAAATGATGAAAGTCTTTGAAGAAAACCTAAGGAAACTGCTTCATGACATTGAATTAGGCAATGAGCTCTTGAAGATGACACCAGTAGCACAGGAAACAAAAGTAAAAATAGATAATTGGACTACAGCAAAATTAAAAACTTCTGTGCATCAAAGGACAATCAACAGGCAACACACAGAATGGGAGAAAATATTTGCAAATCGTATACATGATAAGGGGTGAATCCAGAATACATAAAAGAATACTACGACTCAACAAAAAACAAATAACTCAATTTTAAAAATGGGCAAAGGACTTGAATAGAAATTTTTCCAAAGAAGATATACAAATGGCTGACAAGCATAGGAAAACATGCTCAATATCACTAATCATTAGGGAAATGTAAGTCAAAGTTACAATGAGGGCTAGGCATGGTGGCTCACACCTGTAATCCCAGCACTATGGGAGGCCAAGGTGGGAGGATCACGAGATCAGGATATGGAGACCATCCTGGCTACCCTGTGTCTACTAAAAATATAAAAACTTAGCTGCATGTGGTGGCACATGCCTGTAGTCCCAGCTACTTGGGAGGCTGAGGCAGGAGAATTGCTTAAACCAGGGAGGCAGAGGTTGCCGTAAGCCAAGATCATGCCACTGCACTCCAGCGTGGGCGACAGAGTGAGACACCGTCTCAAGAAAAAAAAAAAAAGTCACAAAAAGACAAATATGCATGATTCCACTTAGACAAGGAACTTACCTACGGTACAGTAGTCCAAATCCCAGAGACAGAAAGTAGAATGGTGGTTGGCAGGGGCTAGGGAAAGGGAAAATGAGGAGTTGTTTAATGGATATAGAGTCTCAGTTTTGCAGAATAAAAATGTTTCCAAGATTGGTTGCAAACAGTATGAATATATTTAACACTGCTGAACTGTACAGTTAGAAATGGTGAGGATGGCACATTGCATGTGATGTGTATTTTTACAACGTTTAAAAGGCCATCAAAAATTGCTTAATTATGTTTTCAGAAATGCCAGACAGTAATATATTGTTGTTTAACAGATTTGAGACAATTTTAATTTTTGTGACCCTTGACTTCTATATGTTAACTTTTTTTTTTTTTGAGATGGAGTCTTGCTCTGTTACCCAGGCTGGAGCGCGGTGGCATGATCTCAGCTCACTGTAACCTCTGCCTCCTGGATTCAAATGATTCTTGTGCCTCAGCCTCCCAAGTGGCTGGGATTACAGGTTCTCGGCACCATGCCCCACTAATTTTTGTATTTTTAGTAGAGACAGCGTTTTACCATGTTGGCCAGGGTGGTCTCGAACTCCTGGCCTCAAGCAATCTGCCCACCTCAGCCTCCCAAAGTGCTGGGGTTACAGGCATGAGCCACTGCACCCAGCCTATACCTCAACTTCTACCTGTGTCTACCTGGCTGTCTATAAATTAACCCGATAGCTGTCCCCACTCGTATGTGCCAGGCTTTTCCCTATACAATTCTGAACAAATTTTTAGTGAGCAAACTGAAGCTCAGTAAGGTCCAGTAACTTTTCCCAAGGTTGTGCAAGAGATGGAGCTCCCATTGGGTCCCATTGGCCTGATCCTAAAGCCTGGGTTCTTCTCCACCAGACCTTATCTCCATCGAGCTGGTCTCATCCTAAGAACCACTTAGGGTACCTACAAAATCCAGATACTCCCTGGGGATGAGCAATTCTTTTTTTTTTTTTTTTTGAGACGGAGTTTCGCTCTTGTTACCCAGGCTGGAGTGCAATGGCACGATCTCGGCTCACCGCAGCCTCCGCCTCCTGGGTTCAGGCAATTCTCCTGCCTCAGCCTCCTGAGTAGCTGGGATTACAGGCACGCGCCACCATGCCCAGCTAATTTTTTGTATTTTTAGTAGAGATGGGGTTTCACCGTGTTGACCAGGATGGTCCCAATCTCTTGACCTCGTGATCCACCCGCCTCGGCCTCCCAAAGTGCTGGGATTACAGGCTTGAGCCACCGCGCCTGGCGTTGAGCAATTCTTTAGATTTTGATGAATGTTGAATGTGTGGATGCTGGGATGAGTAATTAACAAGTAAGGCAATGAACGCAAACAAGAGTGACTAAATTGACATACTCAGGGAGCCTTGAAGAGGGTGGGGCCTGGAAGGGAAGGAAGAGAGGAAGGAGAATAGCTAAGTGGGGAATTTTCACTCTGTGCTTACCAGAGCACATTGTCTATCCTGTGCTGAGGCCAGAGGCCGTGGGGACAGCCTGGATCTACTGCCCACTTAAGAGAGAGGACAACTCAGACACAGCTGTGTATGCTCCCAGCAGCAACAGAGGTTCAGGCAAGATGCCCGAAGGAGGGAAGGGTGACAAGGGCAGTGGGGAGACTTGGCGGGTTTGTGCAGAGGGGAGGGACACATCTTTCTTTAGAAAGATTATGCTGGCTTCTGTGGGGAAGGCAACTTGAAGGGGAAGAAATTGGAAGAGGGAAGACTTGACACTAAACACAGCACCAAGGGCAGTGAGGTTTTGGAGGAACCTTTACTAGAGAGGGAGAGGAAGCAGTCTCCATTATCCACTCTAGTGACAGAGCCCAAAGGGATAGATCTGTAATGGCTGGGGGTGGGGATGAGGGTAGCAATGAACAGAGGAGATAGGGGCTGCTCCTTTTGTTGAGTGCTTTCCAGGACACCAAGTGCTGGTCTGGTGGCTCCAACATGGGAAACTTTTATGTTGTCTCTCAGGTCTAAGGGTCTCTTTACATTTCTTAAAAATTTATTTTTAAATTTTTAGGCTGGGTGTGGTGGCTTACGCCTGTAATCCCAGCACTCTGGGAGGCCAAAGCAGGTGGATCATCTGAGGTCAGGAGTTTGAGGCCAGCCTGGCCAACATGGTAAAACTCCGTCTCTACTAAAAATACAAAAATTAGCTGGATGTGGGGGTGCAAGCTCGTAGTCCCCAGCTACTCGGGAGGCTGAGGCAGGAGATTCACTTGAACCCAGGAGGCTTAGGTTGCAGTGAGCCAAGATCATGCCACTGCACTCCGGCCTGGGTGACAAAGTGAGACTCCATCTCAAAAAAAAAATGTTTTTAAATTTTTTTAAAACTTCTATTGTTTTTCAGGTGGTTTTTGGTTATATAGATAAGTTCTTTAGTGGTGATTTCTGAGATTTTTAGCACACCTGTCACCAGAGCAGTGTACACTGTAATAAATATGTAGTCTTTTATTCCTCACCCCTCCCCACCCTACCCCACTCCCAGTCTATATCATTCTTGTCAGCATTTGTTTTTTGAGAGGTAAGATGAGGTCTGCTGCATTAGCCCAGAGACAGCTGAGGAGGCTGGAAAGGAAAATGGTTTTCAGAGAAAAGGGAAGGAAAAAGTATGAGGAAGCAAAATTATTTAAAAAACACTGTCCTTTCCATTTCTGTGTCATTTAACCAAACACCACCCTGTGGGTTCTGTCAGTTGATCCTCACGCTGATCTAAGAACTTGGCAGAGCTGGGTGGCTGCCTTCCCCAGGGCTAACCGGGTGTCTAAGGTGTACAAGACCCCAGGTGATCCAGCGTCTAACCACAGAGCCCTTGCTGGACACAGGGATAAGACACTATGTGTCCCTGGCCCTGTTCAGGGGAGCAGGGAATGGACCCGAACGATTTAATTACTTTTCATAGATAAAGTCTAGAGAAAACGTGAGGATGCAAAGCATCTCCTCCAAATTGTGAAGGCTTACCCAGGGCCCACTCACTAATGCCAGTTCTCCTGGGCCCTTAAAGCCTGGGGGTGAGGGAGCCCTCTGGTCAACCCTCTCTACCCTAGCCTCAGGACCCCAGCATTGAAGGAACGGAGTCTGACCTCATTCATCACTGTAGGGATGGGGAGACTGAGGCAGGAGGTGAATGGGCTCCCAGCCTGGAGCCCTTTCCCCTCAGGACTTGGTCTCCCTACCCTAGGTCCCTCTGCAAGGACAGAAAGACATGGTCTGGAAATTGAAGCCACTTCTGCTTCTGGCCTGGGTAGCCACCATGTGCAGTGCCCAGGACAGGACTGATCTCCTCAATGTCTGTATGGATGCCAAGCACCACAAGACAAAGCCAGGTCCTGAGGACAAGCTGCATGACCAAGTATGGCTGGAGTGTGCCTCTACTAAGGAGGGGCTGGTTCTAACAGGGAGGAGGAAGTCAGGATGGTGGGGGAGGACTTGAGGGATCAGACACCTCCACACCCTGAATTTTTGCGGTGGGAGAAGATGAAAGTGGAGGGGGAAGAGTGGCTGAGGTGATTTCAGGGGGCCCTCCCCAGAGGTGGATACCATTTGGCAATGAAATTGAGTCATCATTCAATGGGCACCTGTCAGTTGTCATGTGTTTTTTGTATATACTGTAATTTCATATCCCCAGGGGTTCTTTGATGTAGGCAGATGATATTCTCCACATAACACAAGTAAGTGAAACTGAGGCTCACAGAAGCACATGGGCCCACACAGAAGTTGGACATGACTGGCCCCTGTGGTGGGGTAGGAGTAGGACTGGGTTGGGCTCCTCCTTTTGGTGGGTGAGAGACTAGGGAGGCGCTGGCTGTTCCCACCCTCACTATGTGCCGGTTCCATGGAGTGCCAAGGGAGAACAGGAGGAGGCCCCTTCCATCTGTAATTTGAGGCACAGGGGCTGTATATTTACAGTCTATATACATGTATGTCAGTGGATTGCAACCTTATTAGACTCAATATTTCCCTTTTATGACAGATATTTTTTAGATTCTCTTTTCTATCCTGCAATCAAATTCAAAAGAACCTATTTGTATGCATAATTTTGTAAATATCAACATAATGCTCTGTAATATAAAGGAGAAACAGAAAGTAACTTGTAATAAAATAATATATATTTCAACATGTCAGTTCTCTGGTATGACTACATTAGAAGGCATTAGGAAACAGCACATGCTTGCTTTTGTCATAAAATCATTATGAACGGGGAGCTACAAATGAAGATTGATACAGGTGTATTATATTGGTGATTTGAACACTGTAAGATACCATAATATAAGCAATGTTGCCGTTGATGGCATAATTTTCTAAAATAGTGAATAACTCTAGTAGAACAAAACACATAGTACTGCCTTCTATTTCATAGTGTTTGGAGTCCTGGAAAACCCAGTCTAGATTAAAATCTTGTGAAAATATTATGTGACTATATGTTAGACAGAGATAGATTTAAAAAGTAGGGCCTTTGCTTACTTTTTCTGTTTTTTTGAGAAGGAGTCTCACTCTGTTGCCCAGGCTGGAGTGCAATGGTACCATCTTGGCTCACTGCATCCTCTGCCTCCTGGGTTCAAGTGATTCTCCTGCCTCAGGCTCCCAAGTAGCTGGGGTTATAAGCACCCACCACCATGCCTGGCTAATTTTTTGTATTTTTAGTAGAGACGAGGTTTCACCACCTTGGTCAGGCTAGTCTCGAACTCCTGACCTCAGGTGATCCACCTGACTTGGCCTCCCAAAGTGCTGGGATTACCACCTTGAGCCACCACGCATGGCTTGGCTTTTGCTTACTTTTTCCAGCAAATATTTTCATGGGCCTACTATGTGTCTGGCACTGGCCTAGCCACTGGGACACAGATCTTACTACCTGCCAAGAAGAATGAATGTATTCAAACTCTATTACTGTATGGCTCACTCCTTCTCTTCCTTTGCTCAAAATGTCACCTACAATGAAGCGTTTTCTAACCCATTTAAAATGTCAGCAATCATTCCATATTTTACATTACTGCTCTACCTTTTCTCATATCATTTATCATATCCTGACATACCATATATATATATATATATATATATATTTTAGTTTCTTGCTGTCTGTCTCCTCTGACCAGAATGAAATTTCCATGAACACATATTTCTGTCTGTTTTGTTCTCTTCTGTATTCATAGCATCTATAACTGTGACTATCATAAAGTAGGTGCTAAATAGTAATAATAATAATTATTTTTTAAAGACGGGGTTTCACCATGTTGGTCAGGCTGGTCTTGAACTCCCGACCTCAGGTGATCCGCCTGCCTTGGCCTCCAAAGTCCTTGGATTACAAGCGTGAGCCACCACGCCCAGCCAATAATTATTTTTAAATGAGTATGTGAAAGGACTTTTTATGAAGTGTTGCGTGCCGCATAAATGATAGCTATTACTCCCATGACAAGGTTTCCCCTGGGCTCCCACAGCCCCCATCACACAGTTGTAATTGTGTTTCCTCCAAGAATGGGGTTCCTGGAGGCCTAGGACAGAGGGACCATCACAGTGAATATTCCCAGGACAACCTACCTAGGGCAGAGGAGTAAGAACCAAATGGGGGAGAGACAGGAGTTGGTAGAAGGAGGGTGTGGGGAGGCACTCAGTCCTGTGTCTTCCCCACCCAGTGCAGTCCCTGGAGGAAGAATGCCTGCTGTACAGCCAACATTAGCCAGGAGCTGCACAAGGACACCTCCCGCCTGTACAACTTTAACTGGGAGCACTGTGGCAGGATGAAGCCCGCCTGCAAGCGCCACTTCATCCAGGACACCTGTCTCTATGAGTGCTCACCCAACCTGGGGCCCTGGATCCGGCAGGTAGGATGTCTCCTCCCCACACCCCAGCAGACTGCCATCCCCCTCAATCACTTCAAGGCTACGGCTGCCAGCATCCCTGGCTGAGAGGAGCCCTGCCTCCCCACCTCCCACCCAGGTGAATCAGAGCTGGCGCAAAGAACGCTTCCTGGATGTGCCCTTATGCAAAGAGGACTGTCAGCGCTGGTGGGAGGATTGTCACACCTCCCACACCTGCAAGAGCAATTGGCACAGAGGATGGGACTGGACCTCAGGTGAGGGTGATTGAGGTGGGGTTAGGAAAAAGCAGACTGAGGTAGGGTTTGGAGAATCCTCAAGGATTTGGGGTGGGGTGATTTCTGGAGGGGGCCAGAAATGAGCTTCAGGGCCCAGGGGCTGAATGTCTGTGTCTACCATCTCTTTCCCTGCAGGAATTAACAAGTGCCCAGCCGGGGCCCTCTGTCGCACCTTTGAGTCCTACTTCCCCACTCCAGCTGCCCTTTGTGAGGGCCTCTGGAGTCACTCGTACAAGGTCAGCAACTACAGCCGAGGGAGCGGCCGCTGCATTCAGATGTGGTTTGACTCCACCCAGGGCAACCCCAATGAGGAGGTGGCGAGGTTCTATGCTGCAGCCATGAATGTGAACGCTGGCGCCCTGCTTCATGGGATTGGGGGTCTCCTGCTCAGCCTGGCCCTGATGCTGCAACTCTGGCTCCTTGGCTGAGTCCAGTCCTCCCAGACTACCTGCCCTCAGCTTGGATAACCAGGCTGGGTACCAGCTCCCACAAATGGCAGCATCCTAAGCATGCTTCCATTCGTTACCCAACACTCTGTTACCTGCTCAGTTCCTGCTCCATGGTGGGGCTTGGGGCTCTAGACTAACATATCCACGTCTGAGGAATTATTTTGGTTGTGAGTTTGTGGGTGGGTGGGAGACAGATTCTATAGCTTCTGGATTCCTTCAGATCAGAGCAACTGAACCTGTATTTTAACCCCAGCTCTGCTACTTGCTTTGTGAAAGTGAAACAGTTGCTTCACTGCTCTTAACCTTTGTTTCCTCCTGAATATAAAAAAGGATAATAGTCTTGCCCTCAGGCTTGTGAAATATAGAGGAGCTGTTGCCTAGAAAGCCCATGAGCCCAGTGTCTGCACATTAATAGTCTTTGGGGATCCTGTGGCTCCTGTTGCCCCAAGTGAGAGCCAGGTTCTCAGCTGATTTATCTTGGTCTCCAAACAGCCTCCCGGTACTGGGACTGGGAGTCCAAGAAAGGCTCTGGATTGCCAGCGGTTTGAAAAAAAAATTCACACTGCCTAATGTGATGCACATTGATGGAGCAGCGTTGGGGCTTGGGACTCCGAGGAAGAACAGAGCCAATTGGAGAGGGTAGTTTAGGGGGTTCCTGGAGTGGAATACTCAAGAGCCTGGAACTGATTCAGCGCTTCTGTGTCCTGGAGGTGTGGCTGGAAGAGTTAGAAACCCCTAGGGGTTTCCGGGGTGAGGAGCCTCTGGCGCCTTTGTCTACTCCTAGGATTGGTGGATATGCCCATCTTAGGGTTTGCTCTGTCTTGGGGGTTGCTCTATCTTCGCACAGCCGTTGGGAGCTGGGCCTGAGCTATCTCTGGATCTCCCAACACCCCTTTCCCTTTGGCTAAGTGTTTGTTTCCACACTCCTACAACTGTCCCCAGAGAGGCATAGGTAAGTGTCTTAGAACACCCTGCCAGTGGGCGGCCCAGCTAGGACGAGAACCCATGTGTGCACTCCTAGTCCAGGTCTCTCCCCCACTACCAAGGATTCCCCTCACACCAGGCTCATCTTTTCTTATACTGAAAGGTGACTGATGAAGAAGATGGCACAGATTGCAGGCTGAGTTATTGGGTTCCGGAGGCACCGTTGGGTGGCTCGGTAGATCTCTTAATTATTATATTTATCTAGTGTGGAAGGCCCCACAGAGCCCCTTCCACGTCCCAGGCTCTGTTCCAGCTGGGTTAGATCAATGCATATTTGAAATACAGGAAGGAGCTCGCGGGACTGACCCGAACTCCGTCAACAGGTTCAGCAGAGCAAACTGAAAGTTATCTCTCAGGTTAAAGGGAACCTCCCAAGGCTGCCCAAGAGTTGGCGGCGGCGGGCGCCGGGCTGGAGGCCTGCGCCTTTAAGGAGCCAGGGGACGGAGGGGCGGGGCAGGAAGACGACTCCCCGGAGACGCCGCCACCGGCTAGGTGTTTTTTTGAGAGGGGGCGGGCCAGACCCTTTTTTTGGACTCCACCCCCTTTCCGGCGGCCGCGTCCCCCTTCCGCCCCTGGCCGGAGGGCAGGGGGTTGGAGGGCCTAGGAGCAGACCCAGTCAGGGAGCTCCCCGCTGGGCGTCCGGCCCGCAGAGGCGCGAGTTTGCTGACTCGGAGGGAGCTGCTGGGGCGGGGGCGAGTGCTAATAATACCCGTTTGTCCCGCAGCCGCGCTTTACAGTTTACACAGCTGTCACCTTCGTTCCTCCTTAATTAATAATAAAAATAGCCGCCTTTCGGGAGCGCGGGCGGGGCGCCAAGCCGGGTGCCGAGCGCAGTACGAGCCCGGCCCCCAGAGGCGGCCCTCGCCACAGGATCCCCATTTTCCAGAGCGGGAAGCCGAGGCTCAGCCCCGCGCCGCGAATTGGCCGAGGTCACCCGGCGGGCCAGCGGCTCCGGGACCGAGGCGCGGGGCGGGGTGAGGCGGAGCGCAGTGCTTTCCCCGAGTCCCCGGGGCGGCGCGGGGCGGGGCGGGCTGCGCGGAGGGCGGGGGCGCGCGCGGATGGCCATCTTAAGTGGCCGCCGGGAGCTCAGGGACGCTGTCCGGGGAAGGGGGCGCCGGAGCAGCCTGGGAGGTGGGGGTCTGCGTGCGGCGGCCGGGATCCCGGGAGGGAACTTTTTCCTAGACGGGCCAGGGGAGCCTCCTGACCTCGGACTGCTGAACCCCGCCAAGGCCTGGCCTGCGGGTGTGGGGGCCGGTGCTGGGGAACTTGGCCGAGAGGGGGAAGGGCTCTGCCGGGCTGGGAGGGGCTGCGTGAGGGGCTCGAGGACTTCGCACCTCATCTGGGGGAGCGGATCTTCATGGAGGGGATCTCCTCGTGGGATTTGCCGGAGTCCGGACCCCGCGGAGTTAGGGGGCTGCGTTTCTTGGGAGTTGGGGGGCCCTGCCCGCATAGGTGGAGGGAAGAGGATTGGGGGGTCGTCCTGGATCCTTCGCAGGTTTGGGGAACTCGATGCAGCCAAGCTGTACCGGGGCCGAGAGGAAAAGCCGTGGAGTGGAATCAGACCTTTATGGGGCATAGGGGTCATATCATTGGGAGAACTGAAGAGCGCCGAATTTTCCGGGAGGTGCCTGGATCCCGAAGTGTCGGGACCAGGATGGGAGGACTTACATTTCGATGGGGGTTTGGGGACTGGATCTCTTCGGGTGAGTGATGGAGGCAGTATCATCGTGAGGTCTGGGAGATCCCAGGCCCAGCGGGAAGGTGGGGGCACCATCCCCGCTGGAGGAGGCTGGGGGCAGGGGCAGCCAGGGCTGCGGGCCGAGCGGAGGGGGAGGGGGCGGCCGCCGGCTCTGCGCTCCGCTCCCGCCCCTCCCCCGCCGCCTCTGAACAAACTTTTCTTTCTCTTCAAGTTGAGGCCGGCGCTGCGGGCAGCAGCGGCTGCGCG